GGTTTGGCGTTTTATGTTGCCAGATGCAGGTATGCCGTGCATTCCGGTCTTCGAGGATAATCAGGGAGCGATTCAGATTGCGCACAACCCGATCACGAACTCAAACTCGAAGCACATCGATGTACGGCATCACTTTATCAGGGAACTGGTAGAGAGGAAGGAGATTTCGATTACGCATGTGACGTCGGAGTTTCAGCATGCAGATTTCTTGACGAAGGCTATCAGCAAGGAATCTTTTGCGTTGCACAGAGACTTTGTGATGAATTTGCAGTGAAAGAAGTGTTTTCGGATCAAATCGTGTTTTTCCGCGGAGTGGAAGAGAGAGGATATGTACGGGCTTGAACAAGAGATGGAGAGAGGCAAGTGGATATGGTAGTGCTTTGGAGAGTTAGTGTTAGGGATTTTTCTTGTTGATTTGGGAGAGTTGGTATGCGATTGATTATTTTCGGACGTAATTGTATTGGTGTTGGGAGTTTGTATTTTCGTTTTCTTGGTTTTGATTGTGTTTTGGGATGAACTGCTATGAAAAGGATGACTTTGATATTTTCCCGGAGCATGACGATGCATACGAGCAGGGGGGCTATTCGATATACTCGTAGCATAGTATGATGGTTGAGATGCTGTCTCTTATACACATCTAGATGTGTATAAGAGACAGNGACGAGCACGAGCACGCCCCCGACAATACAACACGACAACACGGATACAACACGTCTGTACGACTTTACCTACCCCTACGGCCCGTCATGGCCGAGCTGCTCTACACTCCCATCGCACACAACTGAGCCACCCGAATTATCGATCAACATCCACCTACCACTATCCATCAAAGCCGAGCAATGCATTTTGTGGTTCTCTCACGCGTGCGTGTGTGATCACTTGGCCAAAGAAAAGTACCATCTTTCCGGCATCATGCACGGATTGTATCGTGGCATCACTGGCTCGCGTTGTGACACAGCAGTACTACTGCTGCTGCACTTACCCTTGGATATACATGTGCAATGAGTGCCACAACCCTTTTAAATTTCGCGTGATACATGCGTTTCTGGGGTTCGCCTATCGTTTTTGAGGTTCGCCTACTTTTTTTTCAATTCGCCTAATAATGCGAGTTTGAGTGTCGCCTACCAAACTTTTTTTGAGCGTGCAACGTGCACAACCGTCGCCTACGTACGGTATGTTTTTTTTTGGAAACGCCTAAAAAGGGCAAAGAAAAACGCCTACACAAGCCGAGGGACGATGCCAATGCCAATCCGTGCATCCGTGCAAGCGCACACACAGACAGTCATTTTGATTGTGCCATGTCAGGGGGTGCAGGTACTGCTTCCTCACAGACCAGTGCCAGTACTGCTGGTGCTGGTGATGGTGCTGCAGGAGTTGCTGCAGAAGCTCCTGCAGGAGCTCCAGCAGCAGCTTCTTCAGCTTCGGCGGCGGACCCGTTGGTAGCAGGAGAAGCGATCGACAAGCTGCTGGCGGCCAATAATAAGAAACGCAAGTACCCGGAGCCTGGCTTCGCAGTGGACAGGTCTGGGGCGGTTGGAGGCAGAGGAAGCTACAGCAATGCGTTCAAGGTGAAGGCGGCGGAATTCACGAGAGCCCTCTGCGAGGACGGCAAGCCGGTGGGAAACACTGGAGCGGCAAAAGTTCTCGGGGTATCCAAGAAACGCATCATTGCATGGGTGAAGGAAGAGGGAAAGCTCAAGGGCNTGGAGGCAGAGGAAGCTACAGCAATGCGTTCAAGGTGAAGGCGGCGGAATTCACGAGAGCCCTCTGCGAGGACGGCAAGCCGGTGGGAAACACTGGAGCGGCAAAAGTTCTCGGGGTATCCAAGAAACGCATCATTGCATGGGTGAAGGAAGAGGGAAAGCTCAAGGGCTTGATCCAGGCCAAACCCAAGCTGTCGAAAGCCAAGTCGCTCAACGTTGGGGTTGCAGCTTCGACTGCGGATGTCGACCAAGCCTTGGAGGACTACATCAACGAGAAGCGCAAGCAGCACCGCGGCTGTGGCAACGCGGAGGTCATGAACAAGCTGCTGGAGATCAAGGCTGATGCCCTCGGGGGTCTTGGCCCCACCGCCACGACGGAGGAGGCTTTGCAGTTCAGGAACAAGTTCAACGGCTGGTACAAGCGTTTTCGTGCGCGGCGCGGGCACAGCATCCGCCGGCGTACCAGCGTGGGCCAAAATTCACATAATGGTGCCGATGGGAATGGCGTGGGGCACAGCAGTGCAGAAGCTTCGGAAGGCTCTCAGGGGGCGCGCTGGCCAACTCTTCGCTGAGCGAAACCGGTGTGCTTCTGATGAGCTAGCTCCCTCTGGACGGGGAGGAGCTGAGTTCCGAGCAGCTGGAGTCGGTGACGGAGGAAGTTTTCCACGAACTCGGCAACATGGACTAGACGCCCTGTGTAGCGGGAGATGCCGGTGAAGACAACTCTGGACAAGCGCGGCGGAAGGATGCTCGCATCAGCACAGGAGGTGAGGGTCTTGCAGCTGCGTGTTTGTGGATTTTTACTGAAGGATGCGGAGGTTCGTACCGAACCGGTATTACGTTACTACCGTTAGAATCGGAGAGTTGGCACCGGCGAGGTGGCGCTCGCACCGGGTTGTTATATTGTAGATGTTTTTCCTCGGGTTCTTAATCGCACCCCGGTTCCATCTCTCCGACCCTGGTGTGGAAATGCAGCTAAACCATTTCGTTTAGAATTTTCAAGGCACCCCGGTGCGATCTCTCCAACCGGTGCGATCCCCGATGAAATTTTTTATTACACGTAGGTGTTGCATGTACGCACCCCTTTGCCATCTCCCCGACCGTTGCCACAGTTGTGATTGGTACCAGTTCAGGTACCCACGCACGCACACGGTCTTCGGCACACACACGCACATCTGAGCCGGAAAAAAGGCGGCGAAATACACGTACAACATACCCCGAAAAAAGCGGCGAAATAGCGCATCTGATGTGGTATTGTCAAACCTCGCTCAAGTTAAGGGGGGGCAGAAAAGCGGTTTTGACGCTGGCTCTTTCCCCATACTTTAATCCTATACAAAGAAAGAAAACAACCTTCCCGCCAGGGATAGGTTAGGCATTCTATTGTCGTCAGTAGAGGACACCATGAACAGGCGTCGTGCGTGCTGGCACGTCCAGGTTTGCTACTGGAGCGGAAATATCGAAGGTCGCAGCAGCCTCTGAAAACAGTCCGAAATCTGAGCCGGAACCAAGCGGCATCCAACATTTGTCACAGCCATGCTCACCGCCACGGACCGTAAACCCCTGAACTACGGGTTTACAGCAGTAGCTAGTGGCATTAGCTACTGCTGTAAACCCGTAGTTCAGGAGATTGGGGTCGGCGGCGGCGAGCATGGCTGTGACAAATGTTGGATGCCGCTTAGTTCCGGCGCAGATTTCGGACTGTTTTCAAAGGCTGCTGCGATCTTCGATATTTCAGCTCCAGTAGCAAACCTGAACGTGCCAGCACGCACGACGCCTCTTCATGATGTCCTCTCCTGCTGACAATAGAATGCCTAACCTAGCCCTCAAAATTGACCTTGTTTGAGCGCCTTCCGTTTTGGCTCCTTTGACTTTAATTTAGAGTGGTGAATTTTTATCTTGATTTCAAGGGAGGCCTATGGAGGTAGACGCGTGAAATGGATGTTTTGAGCAGCCTCTACCGCCGCCCTGTGCGAGGATCAACGATTGCTGTTTTTCGCGATGCCTCCCGACTGGTCTTGTGTGTCTGTCGTACAATTTCTGGACCTCTTGCGTTTGTTTTCAAAATTCGTCAACATCAATGTTGCTCTTCTGCCCCCCCCCTTAGCACGTGGTTTTTCCCTAAAAAAAGTTGCCTTAAGCCTGGGAAGTTAACTCAAGATGCAGGGGACCACAACTCACCATCCCCAGGCCAATAGAGGCGGTAAATACGTCAATAGACGCTAACTGGATAATGCTATGCGCAGTAACAAGCGTGGTGCCTTTCGATCGGGCAGCACGGTGTACGATTTAAAGGCAGCCGCGACGTTCAATACCCTAGGGTGTGCGCTGAGGTGGGAAGAGAACCATGGTGCAACAAATGTATCTGGTCGAGGTAAGCAGAATGTGACCAAAGCCGTGTTTTCGATAGGCTCCATAGCAGCTTCACGAAACCTAAAGAAGCCCGCCCACGTCACCCATCACAAGTGATCCGTATACCGTTCGTTTGATACTCTATCGGCTCCGCAAAGAATAAGTGCTGCACCCTTAAGTCGAACAGTCCTTGTAGTACCGGCTTGGCACTATAATGGCAATATAATGGCACAATTCCGAATAGTGCCGGTGGCCGATATAGTGCCGGTCCACCCCCTGGACACATGCCGGCACTTACCGGCATGCTACGGTGCCCAAATGGCACACATCACAGAAAAAAAAAATACCGTCGAGGTGGTACATACGTCACAAGTACAATTGTAAACCCCTCTCGCCCTCGCTTTGTGTCGACTCCCCCGTAGGCAAGGAGAAGGAGCGCTTCACCCTGTGTCTTGCTGTCATGCAAGAAGGTCCCGCTACGCATCATCTTGAAGGGTACGCCGTTCATCCTGCCGGAAGTGTCGGGGAAGGGCAAGAGAACTCAGCTGCGGAAGGGGTCCATCTCGGCAGAGGTTGCCCTTGGGAATCGTACCAAGTTCGGGCACCGCGTGTGGGGCACGTGGTTTGGTGCGCAGGAGAACAGCTGGTATGACGCGCGGGAGTGCGCCTTTTCGATGTCGGAGAGGTGGAGGCTTCGCCCCAACAACGGAAGCATCATCAAGCAGCGCCCGAGCAACTTGGTGTTGGACGACTTGAAGGGCCACCGTGACAAGGCCTTCATCGACGACCTCGGGAAGAGGTGCAACACAAGCGTCAGCCTGATCCCGGGCGGGTTGGCTCCTCTCCTCCAGCCGCTGGACCGCATGCTCAACAAGCAGACTAAGCGGCTACTGCGGGCGAAGTACACCGCCTACACCGCCACCGCGGTAGCCGGGCCGTGGGATGGTGTCTACGTGGTGCCAGAAGGCGTAGCCAGCAATCACCCCCGACACGGTCAAGACTTGCTTCAGATCTGCGGGCTAACGCTTACGCTCGACGGTAAGGGTTACCCCGAGCTGCTCCAGGAGCAGCGCGTCGAGTCGGAGAAAGCACACCCCGGCGTTTCGCTGCCCCCGTTCCAGCTACCAGAGGTACACGACGGCGAGCTCATCGGCACCAACCCCATCACGGCTGCAGAAAAGATGGTTCAAGGACGTCGGCTACCTCCTGCCGATGTGGAGCTGCTGGAATATGACAGCGATCTAGAGTTCTTGGGCGTGTCGGGGGGTAGGGATAAGTCAGGAGAGTTGACGGAGTTGTGTGAATCGGTAGTTGACAATGCTTTTGATCAGTATAGAACCACACGTTAAGGTACCGTTGTTGTTGGTTGGAAGCACACCGGTAACGGGCAACGTAGGCTGGTACGTAACAGCATTCCATGCAGCGAGTGGTCTTGTGTTTGATGCGAGTTTGGCTATGGCGTGACAACCACAAGTGATCTTGTTTGCATCTGAGGTGGTACCAGTACACACGGCATCAAGTGTTTCCCGCTTTCTTTGCGGTCTTCTACGGCTACCATTACGTACGCAGCAGTACAACAGTTTCGGGTGGTGTAAGGTGAGGTAGGGTGAGGCTTGTACGTTGTGTTTGGTTGAGCGTACGGTTGGCGACTTCCATACCAATTAAAAAATGAAAACAACTGGCACCCCGCGTGAACCGTGATCATCCAATCATACGTAAAGGGGTGGCGCTCCGCTGACACCGTCCCCACGTGTAAAAGGTACGCACATGTAGCTCATTCCGGCAGCTGAAAAGGAACTCAATCTTGGATTTGGGAGTCGAGAGAGATCACACCCGGTGCGATCTCGCCGACCCCGGTGGGTGAATCGAATCAAATGTTTCTCCTCGGGTTTTTTATCGCACCCCGGCGCCATCTCTCCGACTATTTCGGTAGCATGTGGAGTTTGGGACCGAGAACAGATCATTCTTTTTTGACTTGCATTCGTTTTGTTTTTTTGCATTCAATCGTTTTACTTGCATTCGTAACACAGCAGCGCAGCGCGCCAGCACGAGGACACCAGAAACAAACGTGATGAGGGAACAGAGAGCAAAACACGCCGGTAGGACATGACTGGAGCAGGGCTAACTTGTCAGCACACGACTTCTAGAGACAAATAACTGAATAGCATCTTGTCCCAGAACGGTTGGGTCTTCCACGGACAGTCACTTCACTCACGACGATGCAATGCGCACCATGTTCGTGCTTTGATCTTACTCGATACACCCTCCATCGGCGACCCGAACACGATGACACTGGGATCGAAGCACGCGGCAAGAGGTACTGAGACCTTTCTTCGCTCGTCACCAGGCCCGCGCCACTCGATCCAAAGACAAATACCAACGACCAAACCAACGACAAAGGGTTTAAGGGTGAAGGGTTAGGGCTAGCCTAATGCTAAGGGTACCCTACCCATTTCCACCGCAAACACATGCAAGACAGAGATGCGCAGCGTTCTCACAAACGACGACACACTGCAACGACACAAAGCGCGAGACCTCGCGCCATCAACACAACAAGCATCGGACCCGAAAAGGCAGCCCATGCTGCAACCGTACCTACCCCGTCTGACCCTTGCGAGAAGCTCTCGTTTATCTCTCGCTCGCTTCATGAACGACTTGCTCATTGACGATCTAGAGCACCACCGTTCATGCGGTCCTGTTGGTAAGTTGATCCTTCCTCCCTGAGGTGAGAGCACAAGCGAACAAACTACCAACGGAGCGAGATGGGGATACTCCAATCGAGGGGCAGAGGACAGCCTCGCCCCGACCCTCTTTCGAAAAACCCCAACGAAAACACTGTCATAGAAAAAGTCACTACAAACAAACAGTTTTCACCAAATAGCGCACGTCCGTTGGTCGGAATCAATCAAAGCGCGACGAAAGCCTCGTCCCCTTCAGGAGCGGGCGGACCCACCCTTTCGCACCCTCTTTCTTTTGTGTGTGTGGAGGGGGGGGCGGGGATATTCAACGTAACCCCTTGATCCACGTCGACACCCACGATCTTTGCAACAAAAAAGATCCCACCGGCTAAACGCCGTCACCAACCTCTAGGTGTATGCTCCCTCTGAGATAGATTAAACCATCTTACGCGCGGATACACCTGCACCTTCCACCATCTGCGGACCCACTCATGTGTTAAGATAAATACTCGTATCGACCCCCCCGCACACGGCACTCCTTGTATAATACAACGCACCAAACGTTCTTTCGCAAAATATACTGTCTTGCCAACGAACCTTCGTCTTGCTCGCCATGGAAATGCTTGAATGATTTGATGGCTTCAATCCTACAATCCTTTGGCCGACTTTGATGGAATCAATCCTTGTTCTTTGATCACGGCCAGCAGGACGACAAAAATATATATATACCTTGTGTTATTCGAGTAACTTGACTCGATCACACGAAAAACTTGGGTGAAAACGAAGCCAGAGGCGGATCTCCCTCGCCGAACTCCCCCCCCCTCTGTGTGACTACCTTAAAGTGAGGAGACAACGTACACCGGTGTTCTTCTTGAAGACAACGATCTAAAGGGAACAAGAGCATGAGTGTCTATCGAGGGCAATGTCATCAACTGCGGTTGGGCGTGTGAATCGGGTTAGCACTGGAAGATACCACGATGCAGCTATCTCGTTCCAATTTATGCGCCCGACACTTCTGTGCTGTCGTGCACAGGTTTGTTTCAGAACCACCCCATGCTCCCCCCCCCCCCCCCCGGTAAATCCGTGCGAAAGGTAGCCTAGGCCGGCGGAAACCCGGCATGTCGCTCCGTCCCGGCATTGTAGGGATGCGAGGCCAATGGTCTAACGACTACGGCATGCACGACTATGAGTACACCTCTCCTACCGCATCAGTAAATAGCTGCTTGTCCAAGCTACTACGAGTCCGCCAGAGCAGTGCGACTCACGAACACGTCATCACGCTGCGGGGAATCTCGTGGCAAGTAGGCGGGACAACCAGACGTACTTTGGCATGTCTCGGAAGGTGAGGGTGCAGGGGTACGCTACCGCGTCGAGGCTACGGCGGCAGTCAGACACTGAAGCGAAGTGCCCCCCCGCGATGGGGGCACCGTCAATCGCAACCAGAACCTTTTTTCGTTACAACAACACAACGCAAAAAAAATAGGGCAGGGGTCAGTGTGACTGTCGGCGTTCGGACATGAGCGAGGATGAAACCGAAACCTTGAAACGGGCCCCGAGCAACAGTAGCCTGCCTTCGATGCGCGCGACACGCAAGTATCTCACCGCGTTGCTTGCATGTAATGGTCGTGTCCTAAGGATGATTGATTAACGCAAACACGAATATGTGTACCCACATTGCTGAGATACAGCAGTCACATCCTACAAACTCAAGAGAAAAAGTGTCCGAAACTTCTCGCCAAATCTATCGCATCGCATGACAGACGTGAGAAGCCACAAGGACTACCCCTTACAACCCGTAGCCTTTGCAGGTTTTTTCGTATTATGTAAACATGTTGGGTAGAGTTTATGTACAACCGGGGAAGTCGGGTTAGGGCTAGGGAATAGGGTCTGCGTCCTCTCCATGTTCTATTTCCTGATAAATTAATCAATCGCGCGAACACGGCCCCTTACAACACCAACCGAACGAAACTCGAACTCCTGTGAAGAACGACACATTCCTATGGTACCAAATAGACAAACAACGTGACTCACCATCCCCGGCTGAATAACGCCTCCCTTCTCCAGCTTCCCCCTCACGTACGGCATGGACAACACGACGGGCCTGCCGTCCTTCCCTTCCTCCACCTTGAGCGACAAGTCCTCCGGCGTTGCCGCTACGACTTCCGAGGGCGACGCCGACACGGTCTTCTGGTACTGAAAATGAAAACCAAGAGGAAAAGAGAATCATGTACCGCACACGTGCACGATGGGTGCGTCAAAAATATCTTTCTCTTTCGCAACACAAAACATTGCGACTGTACATGACTTGGATGTTTTCCCCTCCTCGAAACACCATCCGGCTTGTGATGTTAGATGTTGTTCGGTAACCTGAATTACTAGGAGAGTACCGTGGGATCCAGAATACTCCAAAATGCTCTCATATCACGACTACAATATACCGAGCAGTCAAAACTACCGTATTGGACGAATGGCAATTGCGCTGGGGTTTACATTGCTTACAGCCACGTACGCATTTCCATCTTTGCTAAAAGCAACAAGCATATCGCAGAATTGCAAATGTCTCCAAGAAAAGGAAACAAAATACCTGAGACACCTGAGACACCTGAGACGCACACAACAGCAACACAGCACGACAACCTGAGAGCACACGAAACAAGCAATAACCCACCTGTTTAAGCCTAGAGAGCGACCCCTCCAACGCTTGCGCCCCCCGCCCCCCCCTCGCGGGGTCCACGAAGCCCTCAGCATCCCCCCCGTCAGCATCCGCCGCCGCCGCGCCTGCCCTGCGTATCCTCAGTCGCATGGGGAACATGCCCGGGGCTTCTAGCAGCGCTGCATCCTTGCGATAGCACCCGACACCCGGGAGCGGGATGCCGTTGACGGACACGATTGTGTCGCCCGGTTGGATGGCGCCGGAAGCTTCGAGGGCCGTCGGTACCTTCGCTTCCCCAGCAGACAGCGCCGAGAAAAGGACGTTAGGCAGGGGACAAATCTCAACAGCAAATCGCATCCGTTCGTCGAGCGGGTTGGTGAAAGGTGGGGATTGCTTCGTCGGCCTCCGAAGAGTCGCTTCAACAGCAGCAATAGCAGCAGCGTATGTCGAACTTGCGTGGGAAAGCGCGGTGATTCTATGATGACCGCCGCCACCCTCTTGTTGGCTTACTTTCGGCGTAGGCTAGCAGTTAGGAGGATCGAGTGCATGTGGTCCACTACCCCCGTTCATAGTTCGTGGCAGCTCCATGTATACATGCGCGCTACGGCTCAAAACGAACGCCTTCATCAAACGTCAAACACGCCACATCACAACCCAAGCAAGACCAGGAACAAAAAATAGCACATTATATAGATATCATATCTGTGGACAGAGACGGATTCGCTATATTGTGTTGAGAAACAAAAAAAAAGAAACTTTTATCAAATTATCCTGGATTATTTTATCTGTGGAAACATGAACTTGTTATAATGTAGATAGACAAGATGTCATCTGTGGATGACAGAAAATGTTTCATTCTTGATTTAAAAAAAAAAAATGAAGGTAAAGACAAGAATCACACCTCGCAGAAGCCGGTAACGGTAACACGACCGGACACCCTCCGCAGCTCTAGCTCCAGGGGCGGCGCATCTACCGTCACCCGAACGTCGATGCTGGGCGCCAGCTCGAACGTCACGGGCCTTGGGACCTTTTGGAGACTGCGCACGAGGTCAGCGAACTCCTGTCCGATCACTCGTCTCCCGTTCACGCTGTGGACCCAACCGGTGGGGTAGGGGTGACGTGATTTGAAAATACGTGACCAGGTGGGAGGGAGGGAGGGGGGTGTACTCATAGTCGTGCATGCCGTAGTCGTTAGACCATTGACCTCGCATCCCTACAAAGCCGGGACGGAGCACGCCGGGTTCTCACCGGACCAGGCTCTCACATCACCAAGCGCGAAGCGCCGTGAGATATTCGGCGAGTCGCATGAAGGGTGCGCTGCATCCTGCTAAGGGTGTTCGGCATCTTGTGCTTACTTC